TTTTCTGTGAGAACGTATATACATGTGATCGTTCTGTGTTGCGATATCTAAGGTGATAGGGTTTTTCTCTACATATATAAAAGGTGACAGCGGCTACATGACCGTCAAAATGGCTACTCGCTTTTGTTTTGTAAGCCCTGCTTCTGAATCATAATATTCACCTATTTAAGGGTTGATGGGAGGTTCAGAATTCATTTCGGCCCTTTTTCTTAATCAAAACTTCATTGTCTGGTATATTGACTCTCTTTTCCGGAACATTCAAAAGTTTGATTGGGTGCTATACAGGGCGTCCTTCAAAAGTAAGCCTATAAGGAGGCAGGATCTTCAGGGAAGTAAAAATGGCTAACCTACCTTCGAGTCTCTCCTTCCTCATCTGTCGTGAGGCTCAGTCACGTTTTCAACAAAATAAGCATGCTGTACGCGGTTTCAAATGCATTGCCAATGCCCCGTACATTGCGATAGCGCCTTTGATTATCATAACTCAATCCCCATCTCTGGAAAACTCCTGAGACCTGGATTATCAAGCTAATACTCATCCATGTTCCTTGACAGTAATCATCGTTCTCAAGAAACAGGAGACATTTCCATGACATCTTGCTTGATCTTTTGTATGAAAGTGCTAGGCTGGAAGTTTCACAAAAACACTGCTGCATCTAAAAATTTCTCACTTTCGGCATGATGGTTGTAATCTTCACGTTTGGACAGAAGTATGTAGGTATTTTCCATCCGAATCAGGCTTCTTACGGTGCGTTGAACCATTCCGGATGAGAGACTCCCAATGCTTCCAGGTCAGGTCATCACAGTTGCGCGATGATTGAAGCTCAAGGATAGGCTCAAGCTTGAGCTCATACTTAGGCTTATGACTGCACACGGCTCGTGCTTGAACCTACCACCTAGCCCCCTGATTGGCTCTCCGAACCTTTGTGATCAAAAATTAGAATAATTATTTTAGCTGGAAGCAGTCCGACGTGGCAGAGTTGTTAGGCACTGCTATTGTGTAGATAAAGGATAAAGCATTTGCCGTTGATCAATCCCTTTTTGGGATGCGGCACGCATTCTACTTCCATTTGTACATTCGTAGTGGCGTTTGAATGCGATGTGGCCTATACAATGACTTGCGGGGCCAGCCGATGTACAAGTCAGTGTTTTTATCCTCCCAGACAAGTCTGGTACCAATTAACCGACCCCGGAGGGATGGAAGGCTTGGTTGGCCCGGGCGACTCACGACCCAGGATTTGATCCCCGGACCGCTCGCGTGGTAAGCGTGCCACTTGCCACTACACCACTTCCGTACCTTATTGCGTGAGATGAGAAACATAATTATTTTCAAATCTGTTCTCATTGAGTAGGGGTTTTGTTTAAAGTTTCAGGATAAATAGTCGTATTAAGCTGAAAGTTGTTATATTCATCTGTAAGATTCTGTGATGGCGTTT